TTCACAAACCTCTAATGATCTTCAATTGGCCTCCAAGTTAGGAGTTGACCGACATACATCTATCCTTTCTTTCACCAGACCAATGTCCATTCCTTGATGACTGATGCCCATCCAAACTTGAGTAACACCCCTTGCTTAGGCTCAACCCTCTGAGTAGAATCCTCTTGATATGCACAATCTCTTGATCCCCTGTTCAATGAAAAATGCTATGCAATGCAAATGCTAGAAAGAAATGAAATGAAACATAAACCAAGTTAAGAAAGGGTTGGGCAAATTTTGGGGTGCAACAAATTAGATTTGTAATTCATGTTGCACTAAAGACTATGACTTGAGAGCGAATGCGTCGCATATCGCCCAAAGAGCATACACTAAACACTCTAGACAGTTGAGAGGAAGCCCCCCAACTATCACTCCCCAATTACTTAAGGCTCGTAGCGTACAACACTTATTATCCTTTATTAGATGTCTTGAAGAAGTTTTGAGATGAGATGAGAAGATACAAACTCTAAGGGGAAACTAATCAACCCTAATGTTATCATGCAATGTTCTCCTAAGATTGAGATTAAGAGGGGAAAAGACTATCCTAATGTTATCATGCTTGGATTGAACACTTAATGTCTCTCATACTCCCATCCTAAACGGAGGGACTGAGAATCCTAAGGGATCATGGCAAAAGAACAAGAAAACACAAGGTAAATCAATCACAAATGAGATGCAAGAAATAGATGAAGTTGACTTAAACAAGTCAAGAAGAAATGAAAACATGGTATGTAAGATGCAATGAAAACAAAAGAAGAAGCAAAGAGACTTAAACAAGTCAAAGAAAAAGTGAGATGAAATGGTAGAAGTCACAACTCCTACAACCATTCATGCATCAATCACTAAAACCAAAACATAAACAACAAAGCCAAAGAGAGAAGCCATGATCAAAATGGAGATGGGAGAATAGTCTTGGGCAGCAAGCAACATGAAAGATATCTCAACCAAATACAACATATAGACCATGCAAAAGAAAGGAGCAAAAGTGCTCAAAGTGATCCCTCATTCAAAGCAAACTCAAAGTATGAACAAATGATACCAAATTGCTTTGAATGAGTATCAAAAGCCAAAGGACAAAAGCATAAACACAAGGAGAAGATGCTAAAACCAAATAGAAACAAAGGCACAAGCAAAATACAAGTCAAGTCAAGAGAAAGAACCAAAGTTCAAACCACATTCAACACTTACAACCAAGTGGAATGCCCTAATTCAAAGTGACTTGTAACATAAACTACACAAGTGTGTGACCTATAAATTAAAATCCAACACCTTAAACATGTCAAGAATGAGAATCAAGAGTCATAGGGTGCACATGGGATCAATCAAAGTCATTTCCCAAAGAAATTAGGTCAACTAGTTTGTATGAACTTCATCTAGGGTGACTTGACTTACAAGGATCCCCAAAATAGAAGAAATGTTCAATAAATCTCAAATAAAACACACAAAGCAACTAAGTATGTTGGCACACAGAGGCCAAAGTTTCAAAATCAAATTCAATTCAAGGAATCACCAAATGATTTGATCAACTAGGGTGCTCCACCTTATTAAATTATTATCAAGGGTCAAACAAAACCAAAACAAAGTAAAAAAAATGATCAAACCATGACCAAAATCAGCCCCAAAGGTACCTCAATCCATCCTCTAAATGGAGAGGAAACCTTGCTCATATGTGACATCAAATGGTAGCTCAAGCATGGATGATCAACAAAAGGCAATATTAAAAACCTCTCCAATTGCAAAATTCAAATTAAATTGCAAAATAAAATAAAATCAGAATTAAAAATTATGGAAAATTAAATAAGGTTTTAATATGATAGAAAATATTTTTTTTTGGAATTTTTAGACAATTGGAGCTACTTTTAATGATTAAAACTGAAAACAGCAAATAAAATAAAATAAAAAACAATGGAAATGGAAGGGAGGTGTAACAACAAAACAAGAAACAAAGGAGATTAGGCAAACATGCATTGGGCTCAAACTGAGGGGGGCGAATAAAAGTTCAAGCCCAATCCACCCAGACTCAGTTCACTCACCAAAACGCTCAGTTTCATTAAACGGACGTGGAGTCAACAAGCCACATGGATCAGTCAAATCAATCACATATCAACGCGCGCGCGGTTAAACATTCAACATGGATCCACATCAGATCTGACTGAATCATAACCTGACGTCGGAGCTAGCGCTTCGGTCGTCTTCTCTGGTGAGCTCATCGGAGCTCAGGTGAAAAACCACCATCAACAGCCACAAAAATGGTACCAATGGAAAGCTGAGCTGAGCATCTACCATTATACCCACAATGATTGGACCACTTAATAGGACCCTTTTGGCTTGGCTATTCTGGGCCTTCTTCTATTCGTACCTGCTTCCGTTTCTGCCCCCGCCATTAAAGCTTTCTGGTCCAGGCCTCAGGCACAGACCTGAAACTTACCTGATACGCAAAACTAAATTAAGCACAAAAGTAACATTCATCCATATATATGGGAATAACCCCTGTTCGTAAACCCAGTTGTCTTAGGTTGTATGAGTCTTCCTTAAACAAGTGAAACGCTCTAAAGAGTAGCCTACGGGAGATAGCTATATCTTTTCTATCTTCTTAATAACAAGCACAGAAGCAGGAAAGCTAGCCACCCCGATTCCTTCTTACTTCTCTTTAGGCAGTGTCCATACGTTCCGGCATGGTGCAAGAGAGAGAAAGTCTTATTAAAAAGTATTCCCTTTTATGATAAAAGTTGTTGGTGGAATTCTTCAAACTCTTTCCACTGTTTTGGGAGAGCAAAAAAGTTGATTGATTAGGAAAGAGCTGCTAAGAGGGATGACTCGCCCTTAGCCCTTGTCTAAAACCTAGCAAACAGACCGTTGTAAACCAGGTGAACTAGAGCGAATAGGAGAAGCAAGCAAATAGCGGCCTCTCATCCAATCCACCTCTAGCAATGAAAGTAAGGTATTCTGATCTTTGATCCGCCGATTCAGGAGCGATTGAAGCGAATACAATCTAAGAATGCAAGGAAGGGTTCCCCCAGTAAAGGCCACAACTGAAACCTCCGTTGACATCAGGTCCTCCTAAAGATTTTCCAAAACTCCATATCATTTTCAGCGGCAACACATTGACTGCGGATCCGTTATCTACCAATATCTGTGATACGGGATTCCCGTTCAAGTGAGCTTTGACGTACAGAGGCTTTATGTCTTGGGTCATCTGGGGAGAGGCTTTGTCTAACACGACCTTTTTCGGCTCCCCGGGCTTTGACTGTATGGTCACCTGGCAGGTAACCTCTGGCTCTCCAGCAACTTCTTGAATAGGTACCTTCTGGGCTCGTTGAGCAAGAAGAGCCTTTAATCTATTCGAGATAAAGCCTTTCGGGTTTACTGTGACTTTCATCTCTTCATCCCTCTGGGTCCTCTTCTGATCTTTCTTTAATCATCTCCTCAAGGTCTTACCTGCGCGGCTATACTGTTCGGGCCCACCTTTTATACCATTAATAAAATAGCGTATCTAACTAGTCTATCCGTCTAAGTCTCAGAGGAGTCGGGTACAGACCTATGTCCTTACCTTGCTAGCATTTCGTACCCGGGGCAAGCTCCATTTCAGCCAATGCCAGTCTTAGTTCTTCTCCGAAGGTTTAACATAGATTGATTACCTGGGGAACCTCTAGTCTCTAGCCCTGTACAAGTATAGGGTCTTTCAGGCTTAATGTACTATATTTGCGTATTACCAGTTGCCTTCCCGGACTTCGGATTCGTTCAAAGAGAAAGAGTGGTTCTTGCTATTTCTTTCTCCATCTCGCCACGTGAAAGCTATAGAAGTACCATATTTTCCTTTCACAACACTAATGATAGGAAAGAAAAGTATCCTCTTCGTGTTCATGCCCCACGGTCTAATAGATGTCTCAAAGAGTGGACTAAAAGATCTGATATTCCCCTAATAGCTCCTTCTATCAAAGAGGGCATTCTTTTTCCTTCCCTTCGGGAGTCTGGTATGCCTTGGATCTTGATATCTAGTATTTGATCCGGGGGGAAAGCAGAAGGAGTTGGCAACAGCAACAGACTTGATTGAATGTACTGTGTACCGACTGCTTCGCCTAACCCTTATGTACCAACATACTAGAAATCTATTCCACTACCGCTTGATTTCTCTCTGTCCACAACCATGACTCACGCACCTTTCCATCCCCCCTCAAAGATCCACCCGATTGATGAAGACTTGAACCGAACTCGCAATGATCAAATCGACTTTGGAGAGTAAATCCTTAGGGCAAGCCAAAGGAAGGACGGGATAGACCTCCAAGACAAGCTGAAGGCAGAGAAGGATAGACGAGACAAGGAAGCAAAGGAGAAAAGAAAGATCGGAATAGAATAGAGGTAACGGTTGAACGAGCGGTAGACCCAACTCTGTATACTTAGCCGGAAGCAGGGCATTCCACCGATTCCACTTAGGGATAAAGCCTTTCCCGTATCTATTTGAACCCGATCTTAAAATTTCTATCCGGTAGACTTGGTAAGGTAAAAGGGCCGCGACTTATTTGATTTCCAGAATTAGAGTTCGACCGCAGCTCCCCTTTTTTTGTTTTGGGGGGATCAAGTTCCTTGCCAACTATCGACCCCGATCTCTTTTCATTTATTTGGGGTATTACTAGCCTAGCCTTCGTCAATCACACTAAAGCAGAGCACCCAACTACAGCAAGGCCCCCTTAATTAAGGGTTAGGTTAGTCAATCTGTCCCGAGACGCGTTCGTTGACAAAACCGCCGTAGGAATGGAGACCTTTCAATAGAGCGGAGGCGAATTGATCAACGAGAAAGAGGCCCTACTCACTACAAACGAATACACCACAAGATCGAACTGCACTCATGCCTCTGCCGCATCAAGTTGACCGACCCCCTAAGTAGTTCTTCTATCAATTATGTATGTAGGTAGGGTCCCCCATTCTGATTGATATATCATGAAAAATGAAAGCCATTTGCACTAGGCGCACTGCGCTTTCCCTTGCCTAGATGTTCGCCTTTCTAAGTAAAGTAATGGTGACCCGCCGAAGACTGGAGCCTCATAACATGTTGACGAAGACCCTCGAACTGAGGGTTCGATCAGTAGAGGGGACGACTTAGCCTTCCTGGAAGAAGAATAGCCCCGCTCTCTAGCCGATTGATCTCGTTGATCATATAACTGGGAGGGAATGTGTCACATTAGAGGTGAACGATCAGAGATGTCCGATAATTACCACGATGAGGCTGGTCCCTCTTTTATTTTTGTAGACTAAGCTATGAATATAAATGAATGTCGGGCTCTTTCTTTCACTACTAACCCCAAGAAGTTTCTTAATGCTGATATTTTCTGTTTCGTCGAGCCCCGAGCTTGTGGTCCTCCTTTGAGTGTGGGTTCCATTGGATGAATCTCTCAAGTCAAGGTTCACGTACATAGCAGCAAGAATGGTGCAGCGCCTATTTATCGTTCTCGCTCGGGAGCCAAAACGAACATGCCTGCTACCTACTGTACTGGACCTTCGACCAGGCATTATACCCTTGTCGAATTGGAACCAACCACCACTGTATTGTGCTCGAATAGTTGAGCGGCTTCCGACCAGCAACTTCCGTACCGTACACAGATATAGACTCATTCTTCGTACCTGGTCCAACTTCACAACCCTTAGCGGGTTGGTCAGAAGTCAGTCTTGTTTGGTAAGACTCTATTGAACAAAGCAAAGAAAAGAGAGTGCTCGACCGGAACAACGGCCAACAAAGACCGTAATTACATAGATAACAGCTCCTCCCTTTCTCCGGCTTTAAGGCGAACAGTATGGCGGCTGGAAAGAAAGACGGCCTCACCTTCTCGTAGATGGTGTCAGTGAGAGCAACTTGAGTATCCCCCGTTGACCTTCTTTTGTAGATAGAATCTTCAATGAGTGTAAACAACTTACTAATAAAGGTGCGCTTGTTGAGTAAGGCTGTTTTCTTGCAGGAGTGCTAACGCGCGGGTTCCAAATCCAAGATCCAAACATTAAAAAGGTTCATGAAATGAGAGAATCGAAGGCTTGAAGTTTGAGATGCGCGACTGAAAACTCCATCAAACATGAACAACAACTACGAAAACATGACCTACTCAACATAAGGCTTCAGATGCAGCCATTATGAGCCTAAATCATGGTCTAGAATGAGAGAAATGAGAGATGGAAACTTACTGAACGGAGCAGCTCCGTTGGCTCTTCAGATGCGTGTAAGCTTCACTTCTTTGCTTCAATTCCACTCCAAATGCTCCAAGGAAGAAAAATCAGGCCTCAATTGAAGTTAATTTGCAGAGCATAATGGAATTCGAATTTGAAAAATGCTTGAGAAATTTGAATCTGAAACTGCTCTCTCTAGCTCCAATTGCGCATTCTGAGCTTCTAGGGCAACCTTTTGGCTTATATATTATGGATTTTAACGTGTAATGCAGGCCCATGAAGTTTCAATTGTGATCTTTGAAAATTATGCCCAAAAAAGAAAGCCACCTATGCACACGGGTTTTGCCTTACTCCTCACATGAAAAGTGCACCAATCTGCAGTATGTGGGGTGAATTTTACAATGGAATTGGTTTGGGCTTTTGATTTGGTCCTCGTTGTGATATTGAAGTCAAAACTTTCTCAAGAAGAAACTTGAAAATGGTCATGTTTCCTAGCATTTTGTACCCATTTAACTGTGCAATCTTGCTTGTGATCATATTGTGATGTGAATTGATTCAAAAGGGAAACAAATTCATATCATGCTTAAAAGTTCAAATTCCACTTGAAAATCTTCCCTCATGGCCATTGTAACGCCCCGATTCTGAATTCCCATTAATTGTTGAGTCTTTTAATTTATTTAATTGATGTTTATTTTAAATTGAGAAATTATACATTGCTATGTGGTGTTTTGCTTATTTTATCTATTTTTACCGATTCGGAGAGTTTTCGGGGAATTAGAGTAAAAAGGGCATTTTAGACATTTAGCACTTTAGTGTGAGAATTGATTGGTAAGTGTTGGAAAGAATTTGAGAGGAAAGAAATAGAGATAGAAATAGAATAAGAGAGGAAAAAGGAAGAAAGATAGTAACATAAGAGGAAAAACAAGAGAAAGAGAAGAGAAAGTGGAGAGGAAAACCTAGAATCATCAAGGAATCATCACCAAAGCTTGCAATCGATCGGTAAGGGTGTGAAACTCCATCATCTCTTTAATGTGTATGATTGTATGTATATGTGTGTGGATTTTGTAGAGTTTCTACTCTTTTTCCACTTAGGTTAGAAGTTGGTTTTGTGAGTAGAATGAGGTTTTAATCGGTTAGAAATCAGATTAGACGATGTAGTTTAGTCGGGTGATGGTAGGGTTGTGCCACTGTGACTGGTTTGGATTTAATCGGTTGGTTGTGTGGAGTTTGGGCTTTGAGACAGCCATGGAAGTTCTGTCTTCGCAAGTTCGCCAGGCGAATGGCAGCGAAGCTTCGCCAGGCGAAGCCCAGCGAGCTGTAGCAAAGCAAGTCAGAAGCTAATACCCTGTATCCGCTGGCAAGTTCGCCAGGCGAGGTGAGTTGGCGAAGGTTCGCCAGGCGAGTAGGTAGCGAGCCTCAGCGAGTAATTCCAGAATTACTCCCAGTGGACTTCACTGGGGAGTTCGCCAGGCGAAGGCCAGCGAGCATTCGCTGCGTGGCTTCGCCAGGCGAAGGTTGGCGAACCTGGCAGTGTTATTTTGTTTTGCTGTTTGTTCATAGCATGATGTTTGGTTGATTCAATTATGATTAATGCCTATATGAATGATTGATGTGTGAACTGTTTGACATGTCGTGTTGTGGGTGGCCGAAAGGCGTGAATCCTAGATTGTAGAGTAAATGATAAATCTTGAATATTTGATAATCTTGTGTATTTGCTCGAATTGAATAGAAACGCATTGATAGGCTGATAGGTATGTAAACCTTGTGTGAAATGGTGTATAATGTGAATGCATAATGAATATATGCGATGTATGTGATAAATGCAATAAGTATGTTTGTGAACATAGTGTGCATTTTTGTGATTGATCCCGTGGAGGATTTGCAGAACCTCGTATGATACGATGGTTATATTTGATTCCTTGGAGAATCGGTTGCATTGTGTGATTCCTCGGAGAATCGGTCATAACATGTAATCCCATGGAGGATTGGTTAGAGTATTTGATTCCGTGGAGAATCTGTTGAGTACTTGATCCCGTGGAGGATCTGCTGAATATTCGATTCCGTGGAGAATCTGATGAATATTTGATTCCGTGGAGAATCTGCTGAGTACTTGATCCCGTGGAGGGTCTGCTGAATACTCGATTCCTTAGGGAATTTGTTGAATGAGTCGGTACCGCATTTGCATCTGCATAGGGTCGTGTGTCGGTCTCTATGAGTTGCATGAGTCATCTGTGTGTGATGCATTGGTTGTGTGAATATAACTGTGTATGTTATATATGATTGTTTGGAGGAAAATATAGTGAATGTTCATGTGTATGTGTAGAGACATGATTATTTGTATATGCTTAATGTGGTGAGAACATAATTTGAGTATAACTTGTATAATTATGGAGTTATGTATATATACAATTTTATGCATTAACTGTTATGATGTTGTTTCTCACCCTTCTGCTGTTTTCTAATGCTCTATGAGGCATTGCAGAGTAGGAAGCTGGAGGTTCTTTTTGTGAAGCGATGTCTTCATTCTTTTTGGTCAATGGCTCTGATATGTAACATCTGGGTAGTTAGGAAGCCTTTGACTCTTTTGGAGTTACATTTGTTTTGATTCTTTTGTGATACATATGTGTATGTATCATTTGTGGATACGTTGTAAAACATGAATTAACTGATGGTTGTATATACTTTTATGAATGAGATCGATTCAATATTTGGATGTTTCCGCTTTATTCTAAATATTGAGATGTGGGTTACCCATTGTTGCATATCTATTTTGAGCAGGTATCGTATGTGTTTAATTTCATGATAATGTGATGCGCCTCTTTTATACCATGTTTTAATCAAACTCTGATGAAATATATATTTCTAAGTGCCTAATTGATTTATCTAATTTATTTGGGGTATAGAAAGGGGGTGTTACATTAAGTGGTATCAGAGCCAGTGTTGAGTCAGTCGTGTCTGTCTTGTTGTTGCGTTGGTTGAACGGTTGTTTAACCTTGTTGTTATTTTTGGGAATCCTCAGAATATGGCAGGTCGTAATGACAATGCTATGGCAGCGGCGTTAGAGGCTATGGCCAGAGCTGTGCAGGGTGCACCTAACGTGAATGCGAATGATGAGTTCAGGAAGAACCAACCACCGGTGTTCAAAGGGAGATTTGATCCGGATGGTGCTCAGATATGGTTAAAGGAAATTGAGAGGATCTTTAGGGTGATGGATTGTGCTGAAGGGAACAAGGTGAGACTAGGGACTCACATGCTGAGAGAAGAGGCTGATGACTGGTGGGTCAGCATGAGGCAAGTTCTTGAGGTCGACGATGAGGAGATTACGTGGGATTTATTTCGTAATGAGTTTCTAAGGAAGTATTATCCCGAAAGTGTTAAAGGGAAGAGAGAAATGGAATTTCTGGAGTTGAAACAAGGTAATATGTCGGTGGTGGACTACACCGCTAAGTTTACTGAGTTAGTGAAGTTTCACCCTCACTATGATGCGGTTACGGCGGAATTTTCCAAATGTATCAAGTATGAGAATGGCTTGCGTCCAGAGATAAAGCAAGCGGTGGGTTATCAAAGGATACGAAGATTTTCGGATTTGACCGAGTGTTGTAGAATTTATGAAGAAGATAGTAGAGCTCGTTCTACTCATTATAAGGGTTTGAGCGAGAGGAGAGGGAAGCAGCAAGTACGAAGCGGACCTTATGTGACGCCTGCTGATAAGGGCAAACATAGGGGAAACTTTGATAGGAGACCCGGAGGAGGTTCCGGTGCGATCAAATGTTTTAAGTGTGGCGTGATGGGCCACAAGTCTTATGATTGTGGAAAGTTCAAGGCGAAGTGTTCCAATTGTGGACTCTTTGGTCATGATGCAGCAGAGTGTAGAAAGAATGCTGTGAAGTGTTTTAATTGTGGCGAGGTGGGTCACATTAGCCCGAATTGTACCAAACCGAAGCAAGCTCCGGCGGGCGGAAAAGTATTCGCATTAGCAGGTTCAGACGCCACTAATGCGGCAGATCGTTTGATTAAAGGTACATGCTTTATTAATGATATGCCTTTAGTTGCTATTATTGATACTGGAGCGACTCACTCGTTCATTTCTCTTGCGTGTGCTAAGCGGTTGGATTTGTGTATGGTTTCTTTGAGTAGTGGTATGGTTATTGGGACTCCCGCTTCGGGGTCGGTAACTACTTCTTTGGTGTGTGCAAGTTGTCCTTTGACCATGTATGGTAAGGACTTCGTTATGGATTTAGTGTGTTTGCCGTTGGAAGGTTTGGACGTAATCTTGGGTATGAACTGGTTGCAATTTAATAGAGTTCATTTGGATTGCTATCACAAGTTAGTAAGGTTTCCTTCTTTGGAAGATGGTGAAAACGAGAGTTTTCTTTCCACTAAAGAGTTGAAGAAACTTTTAGCGGACGAAGCTCAGTTGTTTGGTTTGTTTGCATCGTTGTCGGTGGAGGGCAAAG